TAGCGTAAGTATACTTGTAAATGTGCCTAATATACCATTGCTCTTTGGGTAATCCCACTTCACGTTTCGTTTCGTTTCGTTTCATTTTTAGTAATTTTATACAAAAACAATTCCATATTTCAGATATGTTAAACCAAATATTAAATTAAATTGGAGTTTGAATTTATCATTCCTATGCTGTAGGCCTAGAACATAATCTTCGATGAGACTCATGTATTAAGGCTAGGTGAAACTACAGGCTTACTATTATTGCATTTATCCTTATTCCCTCCACGTCCCCCCCCCCCACAAAAAAAAATAATGATAATAAAAATCAACAGAACATTTACATAGAAATAGAATTACAAATGCTACTTATGAATTAAAAAAATAATTAACAAAAAATTAAAAAAAATTAAAAATAAAAACGGATAAATTTATTAGATAGTGTAAATAAGTAAGGTGTTAGTGTCATAAGTATTATGTTTGCATATAATATCCTATATAACTACTGAGTATAGCTGCATTTGCATCGAATCGGAACCGAAATTCGGGCCACGTTTCCGAAGCGCCGAACGCCAGTGTCCCTATTGTTACACACTCATTCAATTTCAGTGATCGGCCTTACGATCCGAAAAATGGGATTTGGTGTGAATGAGGCTTTAGTTTCGTTACGCGGTATTCAGGATTACCAAAATTTGCACATTTTGTCTCGCATAGTAATCCAGTGTGGTTAATTGAAAAATTTTACAGAATGCAATATTTCTTGTTAGGTGCTCTAAAGAAAAAAATCCCAGATTAGCTTTGTAGACCTGTTTATAAATGAGCTAAATGGTAAGGTAATGTGGGGGTGGTCTTTAGTTTGCCATTTTTTATTTATGTTACTCTTTCTTCATACAGGAGGTCGATGTGAAAGCAATCCAGACATTAGCAGAATTAACCTCCAGATGTATAGAACAGTCACAAAGCAGCAGAATCAATGTTGCTGCAGCAAGCCAAGGAACACTCCAAAAACCCAATCCAAATTGCAGCTAGCCTGTCTAACATAAGAACATGTTAAAACTATGAAAGAATTAGCAAAGAGTAATGTGTCTCCGAGAATGTTTACATGTATACCAGCTACACGAATAATTATAAAGCTGTAATTCTTTTCGGACTGTGTTGGTCTAAGGGCCGGAGTTTGAATACCAGGGTTTTAGTTTGTTTGAAACTACGGCTTACTATTGTACTTCGACTGTAGCACACTTTAAATATTAGCGCTATCAATCCGCCCCTGAGGGATTGAATTTTGCCTGTACGGCTTGGCTGATTCCTAAAGTAAAGATATACTGCGGTTTTCAGTTATAATAAAATTATCTATTTTTGTTTTTACTTTCGTGTGTATACCAATATTTAATCATTTTAACATCATTTGTTTCATCTTCTAACAAACGTAATGAATTTAGACAAGTATTTTTTTCATTTTAATTCCATAACAAAAGAAAAAACTTTCCAATTAAAATTGATATCGAATAAATATAATATACGCACACAAAAATATATGAAGAAATAAATAAGTAAATAAATCAAATAATAAATACATAAAGCAAAAACATCAATAATTTTTTATTTAAATTTATTATTTTTTTTTAATTTTTATTTAAAACTGTCACAATGTGGATTCGTCGTACGACCGTCATCGACGCAGTAAGTGTCCGGCTTCACATTAATATGACTTTTGTCCTAATTATGATCTTAATACTTAGCTGCTTAGTAACCGTAGAATCATGCTTTCTGATGTTTTTTCTTTATTATAATGAATTTTGATTTTGATTGTGAAAGTTACTCTATGATTTAATAACTATGTGCCTAGCAGTACCTGAAATAGAGCACTTTAAAATCTGCCATTTGGATGTGTTAATACCGTTAATTTTTTTTTTTGAAAACCACAATATGTTTCGGTTTTTCATAATAAAACATTATTAAAACACAATAAGATTTTCACAAAGTGATGCATAAATTTACGTCTGCCATAAAATCTGGAAACCCAAACCGGATTAAAATAGGCCTATAGGCTTATATGTAGGGTTAATTTTAAGGTTACAGACAGACATCCCTCAGACAGTGCTCCAGTGGTGCCAAATTGAGGTACACTAGAACACAGTGTATTAAAACAGACAGGTATCCCTATTATATATAACAGGTATCCTTCTGCACCATATCAATAGGATGCTCGGGCCCGGGGCACAATAAAATTATGAATTATGAATTCCTACCCCGCCCCAATCTTGCAAAATGCGATTTCCCCATTTCAGGAAATACGCCACTAGTATTGTTATACAGTACATAACAAAAATTGAGTCGTTGCATACATATTCTTCTTTCAATAAATCGATGAACCCCAAATAAAACGGGGGTCGGGGTTTTCCTCGGGGAAAATGTTGGTTCTTAGATGGCGAGAAATGAGTTTTCAGTTTCATGACTTCTGAAGTGTCTTTTAATAAAAATTTTCCCCTTTTGTAAACGGCCAGGTAATTTTTTCTCGTTCTTATTACAGTAAATAGGCCTATGTGTGTGTGTATTATTATTATTTTTTTTTTTCCCAAGAAGGGGCTCAGGACCCCTCTGACTCCTCCTTCAAATCCGCCAATGGATGAAAACTTCTAATGCATCTTTGTAGCAATGCCTTTCACACACAGTGCCCCTCTGCCCCCTACTGCATCCGCCCTTGATTACTGACATCCTTTCCATCTCCACTCAATTTGCCTGCCCAAGCACACAATAATTCGTTGTTATAGTGTCCGATAATTTTTACGTCTCGTGTTCTCTTAGTCTGTTTTCATTTCTAGGCAAAGCTCCCAGAATGTACTCGACGAATCTAATAAATGTCGCTTTAATGCATTGGTGAAAATGAATGAAGTTTAGATTACCTAGGAAGGGCCAAGAAAGTCATGTGGTTTATAACAAAGAAATAGATTTAATACCAATAATTTCAAGAGGTCACGAGCCACACGCGCTTATATCCATATCCGTTGCGAGGATTTTTTTAAACAATGTGGCGCCAGCGAGAATCCTACATCCGCCCCAGAGGGCAGGCCCCTCTGGGGCGGATGCAGGATTTGGCGGTAGGGGGTAAGAGCAAGGGCTCAGATCTGATTTAAAAGGTGAGAGGACATTTCATGGATATAGTATATTTAGATATAGGTATATAGGTATATCACATTACCATTAGTCAAAATTAACCACCAACAAATTCTCATGATCTTTTATTTTCGGCAACCTCGGACCTAATTAATAAGTGTGATTATACCATAGACAATAAAACTTAAAAACATTGTCCTTGATGTACTCTTTTTACTTTACCTACTTCAAAACCGCGAGTTCACAACCCAAACATGGTGGGGCTGAGGTGCAAAAAAAAAAATTAGGAAATAGTAGCACCATTAGATGGCCGGAAATGACACGTTTATATAGTAAAATTCATCATCATTACATCACCATTATAGTCTAAATATGAAGCTCCATCAAATTTCTTATGATCTTTTATCCGCACCGGCAACCACATAGATCTAATTAATGAGTGCTGTGTACCATAGAAAATAAAATTAAGGAAGCACTTACTTTAATGTATTTAATTTACTTGACCTACTTCAAAGCCACATTTACCTCAGCTCCACCATGCTTGGGGCATAGGTTAAAAAATTTGAGAAAATAGTCCTTTAGATGGCCAAAAATGACACTGTTAAAATTCATCATCACCTCACCATTATAGTCAAAATGAGCGCCAACAAGTCCTCATGATATTTTATCAGCTATTTCAGCAACCATTAAAGATCTAATTAATATTTGATGTACAGTGCTATAGAAAATAAAACTTCAAAACATTGTCTTCGATGTATTTACTTTACCTACTTCAAAACCGCGAGTCCACAACCACCTCAGGCCCACGGTTGGGGAAATAGTAACTCTAGATTGCCGGATATGACATTCTTATATAGTAACATGCATCATCGTCACTCAAATTAATCGCTGTTGATGTACCATAGAAAATAAATGTAATTCAGATGTTTGTGGGCAGAAATGTATTGGTATGTCATGCTATAAAATAGAATATGTACTCTGGCTGTACAGCGCTCTTTCTTTAAAAATGGGTCATTTGTGCAGGTTATTTTAACAATCTTCGGGCATCTTTTTGACTTACGAAATTGCACTGCGGACGAAAAGTAAGGGGCCCACCCCCTTAACAATACGTGGGAGACGTGTCAGCTGGCCCCATGATCTGCACTCATGGGTGCATGGAGTCCACACAACCTCAGCCCCAACATGTTGGGGCCTAGGTGCGAACATTTTGAAAGTACGGACTGGCCTCTGGGTGCCAGTGCACTCACAACCTTAAAAATCTTAGCAATAATTCATGTCAACAATGATGCAATTATATTTCTTAATACAATTTATGGGGGTGCGATGCGATCGCACCGTTTCACCCCTGCATTTTCCCCTGCCCTTTCCTCTAAAATCGATTAAATAAGCTTTTGAAAGCCCTACATTGTCAATTTTTTCAGGAAGCTTATCCCGTGGACCACTTTCGAAAGATCATTAGTGCCCGACCACGCCCACTTTGCTCTCGTTGGATACATGGTCCCCTCCCTGTCGGGCAAATCGGGGAGCTGCCACTGTTTCGCAACCCACTGAGCACATTTATCTGGAGGTTGTGAGTTCGATTCTACCCGATTTACTTGCAACATTTTTTCCCGAAATATGTTTGTACTGTGCTGAGTAAACTGCAGAAG